GTGCACATATAGAAGTAACATTCATAGAGTGTCGGGCAGATGAGGGGGGGAAGAGGGGATGGGTAAATTCACATCTAACGGGTGCTGTGCACCACCTCTGCTGATTGGTCACTCTTGAAGCTCCAACTTGGGTGGTGCAAAGGCAATATATGTAACCAAAGCATTTGTACCCCCATAATATTCTGAAATAAAAAAATTAATTTAAAAAACACAAATATTTGTTGAACAAATGAACAAATTAACTTTCAAAATATTTCATGAATAATAGTGCAATGATAAGAGCCAAATATAGATGGACAATCTTCCATACCCTTTCTTTGAAACTCCATCAGCCATCTTATTCCTTTCCTTCTACCACTCACATTCTTTCTCTCCTCTTCCCATCCTTAAACATTTATAAACATGATATATTACAGTCTGCATGCAAATCCAAAAATGCTGATTACCCACTGACTTTGAAACAGGTTGCAACTTGTAGAGGGTAGATTCTCCAACACTGTTGACAAATAGTTTATTCTAGCACTGTTCTGCCTTTCAAAGAATGGCTTGCAAATGTCTCTCCTGTGCTGAGGTTTTCAAGCACTGGGGTAGGGGTGGAGGTTTGTGGAAGGGAGTTGTGAAGGTTCTGCTATGTGAACTAACAGGGTCACAGCAAAAAAAGCAAACTCCATCTCTTGTAGTCAACCCAACAATGATAAATGTTGTATTTTATTTCCCAAAGCATTATCTTTTAAGAAAGCAGCCAAACAAGTAAAAATTGGATATCTCAGCATAAATAATACTTTATTTCCACCTGTCACTAATACTTTCTGCTGACAAATTGGTATAAATATTTGAGATGCTAAAAAAAAAAAAAAATTGAAATCATTGTGCCGAAACCAGTGAATACATTTTTGAAGAGATAAAAAGGAGTTGGCCTTAATATGGGAAAAGACATTATCCATATAGAGATAGGGGTTTCTGTGTCTCTCTATGATCCTTCTTCTTTGGAAGAAAGGGAAGAAAACAATAGATAAGAATGGGAATAAGGCTAAAGTCCAAAAAAGACATAGGCACTGATATCTTTACCTTCTCCCTGGGGCAAAGTTCTTCCAAATTACTCATCTGGATACATTTTCAAGTTAAATTTCTCAAAGATAGGTTTAATTTTTATTTAATCTAGCCATATAAGGCATCATATTAAGTGATTATTAAGGAATAACATCTTTATTGCTTTCTAAAATAATTCTTTAAAGAATATCTTTTAGTGTCTTTCAAGTTTGTTAATAGTAATAGCAATCCCCAGAATAGTAAGAACAACAATTAAGCATATTATACACACGCAGGTGACAGGAATACAGATTTGTTCAGGCTTCCTTGTTCTTTTGAAGCCAAGATTCCAGATTCATGCTTTGGCTTCCTAAGGAAGCACTCTTATTTGCAGAATTACAGTTCTATTATTTGAGAAGGAGTACCTGGTAAATAAAAGCATCAGGCTTTCTGGTCAGAAATACCTGTGTTCTAGTCCTGATTCTTGGATAAAGTAACCACTCTATGCTTCAGTTATCTTACCTTATAAATGGGAAAAAAATGATATTATAATACTTATCTTAAATGTTCATTTTAAGGAATAAATAGGATAAGACCAAAAAAGCACAATATCCAGCATATAGTAAGCACTCAATAAATATTAACTATTACTAGTATTATTATTTCTCCAAAACTCATGCCAGACTGTCCCAGGGTCTGTGGTTATTTTGTTGCTACTTTAAGATCTGAGTCATATGAGATTTGACTCTAATTCAGCTTTATTTCCTAAATTAAACATCTTATGTAATTAGCATCTCCTGTCTGGGTTTTTTTTTCCATAATTATCTTTTCTTTCCCCTCTTAAACAGCATTGCCACCCATATAGTTTTTCAAATTACAGTTTTCATGGCCTTAGCTTATACAACTACTCAAATGGCCATCTTTTTTTTCTTTAATTGCAATACATCCAAAAAAAAATCCTCAGGGAGGGCAACTCTGTTCTTCCATCATTTATGAAGGTCCATCCCAGAACAAAAGGGAACCACACTAATATTTGCTTTGTCCAGACAGTGAAATGTCCCCATTCTCCTCTTACCCTCAGCTACCTCCTTAAGTATCCTCAATTGGAGCCATGTGACAGGTGAAATGTCCTAATTTCAAAGTCATGCTGGCCTTTGAATTAAATTAAGATAAACTAGATATGTCTCCAACCCACTTATTCTCTAAGCCCATGGACCCTGAGATCTACCAGATTCTCTGCCAGACTTAGTGAGCAATTTGGGTTGTAGGATATTAGATGCTGAAAAATTTAGAAATAAATGCAGTTCATTCTGCTATAAGTAGATGCATTCCTGCCAGGTTCATCCAGGGAGGTGGAGCATAAAAGAAAGGGGGAGAAACTTGGAAATGGAAAGGCAAGGAGAAACTTTCTTCATGTCGGAAATTTAAGTTTATAATTAATCAGAAAGAACAGACAGGGTAAGCACAAAAAAAAAAGTTCTTTACTATTTTTTTACTTTGTCTTTTGCATTGCCCCCTTTCTTCTCTGCTTCAATCCAACTTTGAGAAAATAAAATCTTAATGCTGAGATTTACCAAGAAAATATATTTCACTTCAAATGAAAATCGGTGAGACTGCTGGTTCTTTCATCAATTGTATAGATATCCCACTGGGTAACAAGTTTAATGGATGACACAGGAATGTTTTAGCAGATAGATTACCCTAAAACACTGTCATCATCTCGTGCACATTAACATAACTTTCTCAAGCTGTGGAATTCATGATGAGTTGGAAAGTTCGCTGACTCCGTGTTTTCCTAAAATGGCCTTAAAAGAACACTCCACATACAGTTAGCTCTTTCCTTGTATGTGGGGGTTAGGCTTTATCATTTAAAAGCTGTTATTTTCTCTTGCAGAAATAAAAATAAAATATAGCTACTTTCTCAATCTCTTAAACTGGAAGGGACCATCAGCTATAATGATATCAACTAGCATAAATGTCAAAGTCTTCTTCCATATACTGCTACACATAAATTATTGAAGGCTCTAATCTGCCTGAAATTGAGAAATTTTAAGTGTTTCAGTTATAAGAAATTCAAATGTTTTTATAAAATTTTACTGAGCACTTTAGTATATTGTCTGGGATGGAATAATCATGTTACAGTAATTGTTTCATTAATGGACCTATAATCCACTGAGGAAGTTGCTATTATTTTCCTCATTTTTTCAGTGAGTTATCTTAGCCTTGGGAGGTATGTCCCAATGTTCAAGCAGTGTGTCCCAAAATAAATGGGGAAAATGAATCAGATCTGATTCCGAAGCCATTTGCCTAGCCACCAAGTTTGGCTCGTTGTCATTTAAGAGAGTGTATGATAAAAAGCATCTACAAATACTTCTAAGGTACAGACACTAAAAAGAGAATTAATGTGAAAGAAAAGGAATAATGGAGACATGATGAAATAAAATCAGATAAGAATGGAGCCTATCTATATCAACTACCCCCATCTTTTTCTGTGTGAAAAATAACCATGCTGAGATCAGAATAAAGGACTCTTTGTTTCCACACGCAGAGGACAAAGCATCAGGCATCTGAGGCTGAGTGTTGTAGCTGCCACTCTCTTCCTGATTCCCTGCTTGAGGGTCCAATTAAAATAGAAAAAGGCTGGAGTTTGTGTTTATCCGTTACCAATAGCTATGTATTATTCACTTTGATTTCTCTAGGCACAAAGACAGTTGGGCTTGTAGGAGGGAAGAGGCAAAGAGAGCAGTGACTGCCATCTGCTCATATCATAAAGGGCAGCCTGTCAGCAGAGTGCTTAATAAAGCTATTCCTTCCCAAGAATGCTTATCAACTGTAGAGGTTAAAGGCCACTGAACCCAGTGCAGAGTCAGTGTGGCCAGAGCTCAGTGAAGTTTCTTTAACGTACCTCCTTCTCTGCTCATATTAGCATTGCAGCTGCCCTTGTTGTCCACCAGACACCAAACACCCCTGTGTTACTAAACGCAAATAACTCCACTAAACAACTGTAGACACTGTAGTATCTAAGTGCTAAATGAATATCTAAATGAGTCAACATGTGTATCATTCAATTGACTGTAAAATGCTAGTCAAATGTAAGGTGGTATTAAAATACAGATTACTTTCATGTATTATGACATCTCAACAACTCAGGGAGGTTGGTTATTTTGACAGTTTTCAGATAATAACACCATGGTACTGTTTGCAGATAATAACATAATACTCCAAATGTTTTCTCAAATGTCTCTGGACTGCAAAGTAGTATAGCCTCAACTCAAATGTGGATCTTTTCATTCCCATCCCAGCAACTTTTTTCACTGTATCATAGCTGTATCATTTTCACTGTATCATTTTGCTTGTTTCTGTTGTTAAGCTGGATGTTTTCAAATACAATTATGCTTGACATAGTTTATGTCAGTAATATTAAACCAACTTCAGACACATATTTTCTGGTGTTGGTTTATTATTTAATAACAATAAATAAGATCAACAACAACTTTTAGTCTTCAAGGATGTTTACCAGCTATTTTTTAATTTTTTAATTTTCCCATGACTGTTTTTAAATGCCAATATATTATGCCCACAGTCACTTTTTTAATGTCATTTTTTCATACCACCAAGCCAAGAATGTCTTTACATGCGCCTGGAACAAATTATTAATGGTTCAATTCCTCCATTCTTTCAAAATCTGAAGAAACTCTAATGAAAAATAATATCCTAAAATGGAAGAACATATTCAATTTCCTTGAAAGCCACTGCCTGATTTTCTTTAGCCGATCCAGTGTCTTTGAATCTATTGGTTTGTGAACCTGTGCTAATCTCATTGTATTAATATTAAAAACTGTCTAGAGTCCATGTGCTTTATTAAAGTCAAGCCCTTTTTGTCTACCTTTTCTCACCAGGTGAGAACTGACACTTTTGAAACTGGAATAAACCAAATGTCTGTGCCAGAACTCCCTTTCCAAATTACTCACATGTGTCCCAAACTGTTGGTGAGCTGGTGCTGAGTGGCTCTTAGAGTTCCTTGTGCAGTTTGTCCTTACACGCCAAGCAATTGGCTTATGGGTAATGTGGCATGAAACTTGCTTTTCCAATTGGAGCTCTCTTTTCGATTTCAACCACAGTCAGTGGTGATTGAATGTCATCACCAATAGATTGATTTTTGATCCTGAAATGCCACAAAGCATTCATCTTAGAATTGTTCCAAGGAGGTGACCGTCAGCATCTCAAAAACCACTACCAGCAGCATGTTTCATCAATCAATATATACAATATTTTCTTTAAAAATCTGAAACAAATCCAAGTTCTCCCAAACCCAAAGCCAAGTCCACATGCATGCAAAATGTTAGTGATTTTTTCCCCTATAACTGGGTCTGTTTCATACATACTTTGCAAAGATTTAGGATTTGGGATAAATAATGTACATGTTGGTTTTATTTGGTGGCATCCAAAAGGCTAGGTGAAGATAGGGAGCTATGGCTGACTTTCCCTTTCCATTCTCAGATTTGTTCAAATCCAAATGATTCTGGAGTATGATTTTGTGGGAACAAAAAAAAGCTGGAATAACCACAAGCACTCAGCATTCATGAAACTCAGTCTACTGCTATGAAAAAGACAACTTCATGAGCAAACCAGGAAATGTGATCTCGATTAAAGAGTGTCCTCCTTTAGAACAAAAGTTATTGACCCAACTGCAAATCTATAAACCAGAGTAAGATCTAAGCATGCGAAGAGGGGCAGTAACTGAAAAGGAGTTTACTCTTTATATGTTCATTGTGAAGAAAAGGCTATTCTACTTGTAATTTATACTAACAATGTTAGCATATTTACAAAGAAAGAAAGAAGGAATTTTCAGTGTGGTATCAAATTTATGATGTTCTTAATAAAATGAAATTGGGATAATTGTTGTTCTGTTAATCAGAAAAACTGGTTAAAGAAGGGAATCATAAAATTTTATACAAATATAGATTAAGCATTTTATTTTACCTTAAATATAAGAACATTCACTCAGCAATCTTTTGTTGAAGGTAGAATTTGGGGAGAATGCCTGCAATAATCAGTTTTAGCTTACCTTTCCTGCATAAAACCACATGTATTGCATCATCCAAGACTTCCAGCAAGCTATCTCAATGCAAGATTTTTCTAGATATTTTTCTCCAGTCTTTTAAAAACTCTCACCAATACCTAATTAAGTTTCATTTTTTTAACAATTTGCCTTTATCAAGTTTTTAAAAAGCAATTGTTTTATAGAGACAAGTTTGTTCTCTAATACATAATCCATTGGCCTATGTAACATTAAGTAAATTACATAATTAGAATAATGGGCATAAGTAATACACAGGTTTGGGAACAAAGACTCTTGGTAAGTATAAAACTCAACTGTTGGGAGCAAAAGGTCAGTTTAGCATTCAGGAATGTTCAGCATACTGGGGGTATCAATCATCTGTTCATCTGTTATCTATTGCCATAATAATGCTTTAATAACAAATAAACACATAACCAGAGTACCTTAAAACAACAAATATTTACATTTCTCACTCACAAGTTTTGGATCCCAAGCGGTTCAGCTGAACTGAGTCCCAGGCTGCAATCTAGGATAAGACATGCTTTATGGGAGAGGGAGACGGACATTGAGAGGAGATGGACATTGAGAGAATGAGGAGGAAGGAGAGAAAATGGCACCCACAGATTACAGTACCTACATCCCAGTAAGGCTACAGTGCTTACACATCCCAGCCCCCTCAAGGATATGCACAGACAACCCAGGCATACGGCAGCAAAGCTATGGAACCTATGATGTCAGCCCACTGATGTCAGCTATAGCCAAGCTCAGACCACTGCGACCTATGGGAAGACCACCTATGCAACTTCTTATGGACAGCCTCTCACTGGTTATACTACTCCAACCATCCCCCAGGCGTATAGTCAGCCTGTCCAGGGATATTGCACTGGTGCTTATGATGCCATTGCTACAGTCACCACCACCCAGGCCTCCTATGCAGCTCAGTCTGCATGTGGCACTCAGCCTGCTTACCCAGCCTTGGGCAGCAGCCGGCAGCTACCACACCTACAATGCCACAAGATGGTAGCAAGCCTGCTGAGACTAGGAAATCTCAATCTAGCACAGGGGGTTATAACCAGCCCAGCCTAGGATATGGACAGAGTAAATACAGTTATCCCCAGGTACCTGGGAGCTACCCCATGCAGCTAGTCATGGCACCTCCATCCTACCCTCTTACACGACCAACTAGTTATGATCAGAGCAATTACTCTCAGCAGAACATCTATGGGCAGCTGAGCAGATATGGACAGCAGAGTAGCTATGGTCAACAAAGCAGCTATGGGAAGCAGCCTCCCACTAGTTATCCCCCCAAAACTGGATCCTACAGCCAGGCTCCAAGTCAATATAGCCAACAGAGCAGCAGCTACGGGCAGCAGAGTTCATTCCGACAGGACCACCCCAGTGGCATGGGTGTTTATGGACAAGAATCTAAAGGATTTTCTGGACCAGGATTGAACTGAACCATGAGTGGTCCTGATAACCAGGGAAGGGGAAGAGGGTGATTTGATCATGGAGGCATGAGCAGAAGTGGGTGGGGAGGAGGATGCAGTGGATGGGCACTGAGGTGGCTTCAATAAGCCTGGTGGACCCATGGACAAAGGACCAAATCTTCATCTAGGCACACCCATAGATCTGGATGAAGACTGGCAACAGTGCGATTTATGTGCAAAGATTAAATGACAATGTGACTCTAGATGATCTGGCAGACCTCTCTAAGCAATGTGGGGTTGTTAAGATGAACGAGAGAACTGGGCAACCCATGATCCACATCTACCTCGTCAAAGAAACAGGAAAGCCTAAAAGTGACACCACAGTGTCCTGTGAAGACCCACCAACTGCCAAAGCTGCCATGGAGTAGTTTGATGGGAAAGATTTTCAAGGGAGAAAACTTAAAGTCTCTCTTGGTCAGAAAAAGCCTCCAGTGAACAGCATGCAGGGAGGTATGCTACCCCATGAGGGCAAAGGGATATCACCACCACTCCATGGAGGTATAGGAGACCCAGGAGGTCCTGGGAGACCCATGGGTCACATGGGAGGCCATGGAGAAGATAGGGGAGGTTTCCCTCCAGGAGAGCCCTGAAATTCTCAAAAGAACCCCTCCAGAGAAGGAAATGTCCAACACTGAGCTTGAGACAGGCAGTGTCCCAGTCTGGCTTGTGGAAACCAGAAGTTCACCTGGAGAACAGAATGCAACCAGTATAAGGCCCTGAAGCCTGAAGGCTTCCTCCCACCATACTTCCCACTCCCGGATGGTGATCATGGCAGAGGTGGGCCTAGTGGTATGTAGGGTGGAAGAGGTGGCCTCATGGACCATAGAGGCCCTGGTGGAATGTTCAGAGGTGGCCATAGTAGAGACAGAGGTGGCTTCCATGGTGGCCAGGGCATGGACTAATGTGGCTTTGGTGGAGGAAAACAAGGTGGCCCTGAGGGTCCTATAATTGCTATTATAGGACCTGGACCTTTGATGGAACAGATGGAAGGAAGAAGAGGTAGACGTGGAGGACCTGGAAGAATGGATAAAGGAAAGCACTTCCAGGAGCACAGACACCAGCCCTACTAGACACAGAGACCCCACAGAGCTGCATTGACTACCAGATTTAATTTTTAAAACAGAATATGTTTTAAATTTATAATGTTGCCACAACATTATGATAACTCCTTATCTGTACTTTAGTATTTTTCTCCATTTGTGAAGAAACATTAAAACAAGTTAAATGGTAACAACAACAACAAAAAAGACATGCTTTATGTATCTTACTCTGGATCCGAGATTGAAAGGATAACAGCTACCTGGGACCTATTCTTCTCGTGATGACAGAAGGACAAAAGGGCTAGGATAAATCATGCAAATACATTCCAAGCATCCTAGTATGTCAGATATACTAGCCTCCCATTGGCCAAAGTGAGTCACATGGCCAAGTCTAAAGTCACGGAGAAGGGAAGTACGCTCCACCCATCATGAGGCTACATTAAGAATGTGGCTGCAGAACAGAAGAATAATTGGGACCAACAACATTATCCACTATAATGTTTAATACAATAAAAAAGCAGAGTGTTTAATCCACAAGAGAGATTTGATTATACTTAGGTTCAAATGAAGTAATGAATACATTGAAGTCTACATTTATTTCTTGGTTCATTCATTCACTAATCCATACAATCAACAAAAATGTATTGTGTTTCTCTTATGTGTCAGGTACTCTGGAGATGTAAAAAAAAAAAAAATGAGTAAACAATTTCCTTTGCCCTTGACTATCTGATGGATTATCTATGCTGAGAGATGAAGAATGGTTCATACTAAACAGTAAAACAGAAAAAATTTGATTTTTTGACTTTCAATGCCTCTATTAAGACAATAAATTTACCTTTCTACATATAGGTCTATATGAACTAATGATAAAATCAGCTAATGTACTTTGATTATTCTTAGCAGCAAATAATTACACATTGCCTCTTACCTCCATCCCTTCGGTGTCACATCAGATATACTGGAAGGACAATGTACTCCTTGGGACTAGGACACTCTGAAGTGCTCTTCAAAGGAAGATACCTGAACAATGCCAGATCAATAAACAGGTGGGTGTTTAACAACAGAGAGAAGCTCTGATAATAAGAGAATTACTGTCCTTCTGGAGAAACTTGTTTCTCTCACAGACAAATATTAAGTACATTCATGGAGGTTCTGTAGGGTAGAGGAGAGAATACTTCATCACTTAAGCTTCCTCTATTCAATTCCTAAAAGTGGAGTAAGAATTTAGACACTCAGGAAAGAGACTGACTGTGAAATTCTAGTCTAGTGCTTACTCTGCCACTAATCAGTAGTGTCACCTATCACGAATCACGTAACATCCCTAGATGTTGCCTTCCTGGAAACCACCCCTAATTGCACCTCTCTTCCCAAGGCTGGGATAGAAGGGACATTTTTATTCCTTTATATCTTAATCCTATCTCTATTAGTTTGCCTATTAAGTTGTTTTATAATTATTATGTATTCATTTGCCTCTTATACTGCTAAGTTTCTTGAAATCAGAGCCAATATCTTAGGCCTTTTGGAGAATATACCTAGAAAAGAAAATAAGACATATTGATGATTTGTTTAAAACACTCACAACTCTACTATAGGCTTCTCTGAAATGGTGTGAAAATCTGGTAAATTCATTTTGGCTGAGGAAATCCCAACATTTTTCTGAGAATAGACCTCATTATCTGCCCCATAAAGTATAATAATTGCTATTATAGGACCCATGCCTAAATTCATTAGATTACTTTGATACTTTATTCTTCAACATTACATTTAAATTCTGGCTTGGTTATATGACTTAGAAAATAAAACTCAGGCCTTTAATCTGTCATCTTCTGCTTGAGGACAATTAATAAAAATGTACAAAGATGAAAATCTTGATATTTCATAGATTTGCAATAATGTTTCTTAAAACAACAGCCTTTTTAGCAGGCCACTGGTATGACCTAGAGAAAATGCTTGAATATTAACTGTAGAAGAGAATGGAGGTTTCATCTGATCTAAGAGTTTTATTTTATAGTTAAGAAAACTGAGATCCTGAGAGATGAAGTGACTTGCACAAGGCTACCATGAGTCTCATAAATGATAGGGACTTGCCACAAGTCTAACATTAATTTTTTTAAAGGTTGGGGGGACTACTTAATATCTTGCCTCCTTACATGCCACACATGTCACTTTCTTTTATTTGCCATCATGACAACCATTCCTAAACATTCACCATTCCAGAACTCTTTACTTTTATTTATGAATAGCTTTGTGATGATAGGCAAGACATTTGAGCTCCCTGGTTTCAATTCTAATAAGGGACATGGCTAAGTCATATCGATGACTTTTAAGATCATTTCTACATATATTCTAGGCAATAGAGGGATTAGAACAGGATTTAGGAATGCTTATTATAAAAATAAGTTTGAAATATATATACAGAGAGAGAGCACATAAGGTTGAAATATGTATATTGCATATAAGGTTGAGATTGTGTCTGTGTGTGTGTGTGTGTGTGTGTGTGTGTGTGTGTGTATGTGTGTGTGTGTGATAACTCTGAGAGCTTAGCCATTGCTGGAGGGACTTTTTTCTCTACAATAGGTTTTCATTGCGATGACTGTGGGTCTGTCCCCAGGTCCCTGAAGATTAATCCCTGGCCATACCAGGGGGAAGCACACTGGTCCCAAGTTGTCCATGGGGTACTCAAGCAGGTTCGATGCCCCTCCACCTCAGGGCATGCCCCGCTCTGATGGAGTTGCCAGGCAAGCAGCACCATGGAGAGATGGAGGGCAAAGAGCTCACAGTCCAAGCAGCCATCAGTCCATTGCAGAGCCCAGAGAAGAAAAGTCTGAGCCCCACTATCTGTTGATGCCTCGGTGTGATGTCTCAATTGTCTCTTTCCACTGCCATGAGTGGGGTAGGGGAAGAAGAGAAAAAGAGTCTGCGTGTCAGAATGCTAGCACTCTGGTTGTGCCTATCTCCCTCCAGGAGGCCACCTGTCCAGAATGCCTGGGCACTGGAGTCACGCAGGTCACCCAAGACCCACTGGACCCCTGTGGCTCCTGAAGTCTGGGCCAGAGTTGGAAAATGTGTGTGTGGGAATGAGCGAGACAAATCTTGAGGAGTTGAAGCCCCCTGGCAAGGACAAAGGTGCACGGTGAGTAGAGAAGCAATATAGCACTTGCCATCCCAGCTTGGGTCTATTGGGCAGGAAGTGCCCCAGAGGGGCTGGGAGCCTGGTGCCCTGTCAACAAGAAGCTCCTAGCTCACTGGCAGCAGCAGCTATGGGCAGAAGGTCTCTCCAGCAGCTCAAGAACCCACCATCCATCAGAGATGTAAGGGTGGGGGAGAAATAAACCACTCCACCTACCCTTGTCACTGGACTTCAAGCCTCTGAAGGGTTGATCTCCGCTGCTGATACCTTGCTCCTTCCTGATCTGCTCTGCAACTTCTTCCCATGGAGTCTCTGGTATGTTCTGGCATGTTTCCCTCAAGATAATACTGGAACTATATTTGTTTGTTTGTTTGTTTTTTTCTTTTTCATCTAAAACTTTTCCTTCTTTCTGAGACAATCTGGCAGCTGGTATCTCTGGTCCACCATCTTAAAAATGGGCAAAATTATATAACTGGTAAGGGGATAATATTGTGGTTTTGTTCTAGTAATAGAATAAAAGTTTTATGAGTACCTTTGATGTAGCATTAGGAATTTATTCCAAAGTAAAGGTTCATGTGAAAGAATATTCAGTATAGCATTGAACAAAACTGAAAATATCTAAATGTCCAAAGTAGTAGCAAAAATTTAGAAGAAGAATTACAATTATCACCAGCCTCCCGAGACCCTCAGCAATAGTAGCCTCTCTCTTATTCTATGCTGCCTCACCATCTGGACCAAAAAAATGTTAGAAGTGGAGGGGCTCCTTGTCATCATCTTCTCTGAACTCCTCATTTGATAAATGAGAGGTTGATGGCAAAGATGTCAAGTAAATCACCCACACCTGTAGCACTCTTTATAGTCCCCATAGTTTCTCCTGGCATAACAAACAGGAGTAACGGCCCTCAGTCTTCCTTGGCTAGACCAATACTAATCAGATTTTACCCTTTTCCTATAGCAGTTTTATTATTCTGCAAAGTACCCAGTTTCTACTAGCAAGATTTCTCTTATTAGGCCAGTTCCCCAAAGAAAAATTAGCATCATCCACGTATTCCAAAAGTTTACCTACTTTTTTGGTTACTGATGGGTACAAAGGCAACATCACGTTGCACTGGTCCACACAGACTGTTTTCCTCTGGCCTTTGTAATGCCTAGTAAATCTGGATTAAGTTTTTGGTTTGTTAAAAAAACAAAAAAATCCCTGGCTTTTCTCATAAAGCAAAGTGGAAAGCTTTTCTTAACTGTCATCTATCTTGCTCTTGCTCTTGGTCTTGGTACAAGACTAAGCATGCCTTTGAAGAGATGACATAAAATGCCCACTCATGAAGAACTATTTCACACTTCAACTTTTGAGCAATATTATTTTCTAAGACATTGTTCCATAGAGAATTAAAGTAAATATTTTGTATGGCACTCAAAGACATTTGCAAAGGCCACTAATCATTTCAGGTAATGGGAAAATAATGGAAGAAGCTCTGGAACTAGGCCACTAAAAGCTATCTTTTGAGGCTAACATGTGCAAATGGGTTGGCTAGGTTTTGCTGCTTTTAAGGCACAGTAATTTAGATGATTGTTTAAATCTTTTTAACTGTGTCAGTATTTAAACTGCATTTTTATTTCTGAAGACCAGAGGCCCTGTTACAAATCTCTTAGAAACCTATTGCTAATTTATTAAGAAGTAATGGCTTTAGTGACTATAAGAACTCACAACACATGTGAGTTTGAGAATACACCAGAAAGTTCACCAAAAGCCTGGAGCAACCTGTAATTGGCTATGCTCACTGTGGAAGGCATAAAGAGCCTGTCTTCCCCTGAAGCAACAGATTCTACTATCTTAAAAAGATCAATGACCTAGCCCACTTACTTGTCGGAGGCCCCCCTGCTTAAATCTGTTCTTCTTCCATCTGCTTTGAAAGCAGGTTAAGCCCTCTGGGTTATAAAATGTCTATAGAATAACCTGAAAACAACTGATATAAGCCCATCTCCAAAAAGTCCTCATGACTACCCTTTTTGGTTCCCCCAAAGCACAACTGTCCATATGAAGAGGTGTTTCATAACCCTTCATTGCTTATTACTTCTTCCCAGTATTACAGTATATAAGCATCTAAAAGGGATGATTTCTTGGCCATGGTAGCTCATTTGAAATGCATTCCATAATTAACAACTTTGAAAGCAAAGAGGTAAATTTTGTCACATGTATTATTAAAGCAGAGTGAAATCTCCCAGGACCAAATTAGGCACTTGATTAAAAATGTCTGTGTTAAAAGAAACAAGTAGATAGGGAGTTGTGCTCTCAGCAATCCCAAATTAGCACACTGATTGAAGTGCCTGCTCAAGCCATGTGGAAAGATAGACCTTGGGAATCCTTTGTGAATGAGGACTGAAGTGTCCCAACTTGAACACAGGTCAACCAGAATCAGTTTTAATGGAATCACCTGAAAGTAAAGGAGATAAAGGAGTCAAATGAGAGACTCAATGAGCAAGTAATCATGGTGTAATGAACAAAGTAATAATTGGGAATTTATAAACCTGGATTCATTTGTTCTTCAACATTTCAATTTTATTTTCAAGTACTACATGCTAGGTTTTTGTCTTCTCGTTTTTCCTCTGCCACTCCTGATTTTGGCCAAGATTCCTACTTCCTCTGCACCTCTGTTCCCACTTGTGCAAATTGAGAGGGTGGGAAGAAATGATTACTAAGGGGATTCTCACATAATTTTAGGAAAACAATGTAAGTTAAATTTTATCTAAAAGAATAGGAGAAAATACTCACATGCTACACACCCTGTAAAGGGCTGATAACTCGAATCTATATAGAACTCAGGAAAATCAGCGAGTAAAAATCAAAGAACATGAACAGAAACTTTTTAAAAGAAGACAGACTAATGGCCAGCAAACATATGAAAAAATGCTCAACATCTCTAATCATCAGGGAAATGCAAATCAAAACCACAATGAGATATCACTTATCTCCAGTGAGAATGGCTTTTATCAAAAAGTCCCAAAATGATAAATGTGGGCATGGATGCAGAGAGATATGAACACTCATACACTGCTGGTGGAACTGCAAACCAGTACAATCTCTATGGAAAGTAATGTGGAGATACCTCAAGAAGCGAAAAATAGAACTACCATTTGATCTAGTAATCCCATTACTGGGCATCTACCCAAAGGAAAAAAAGACATTCTATAAAAAAGACCTCTGCACTAGAATGTTTACAGCAGCACAATTCACAATTGCAAAGATGTGAAAACAACCCAAGTGCCCATGAATACATGAGTAGATAAATAAAATGTGGTCTATATACCATAAAGTATGACTTGGCTACAAAAAATATTGGTAATCTAGCACTTCTTATGTTATCCTGCATAGAGCTGGAGCCTATTCTAATAAGTGAGGTATCACAAGAATGGAAAAACAAACACCACATGTACTCACCATCAAATTGGTATTCATTGATCAAGACTTATATGCACATATAATAGTAACATTCATCGGGTGTCAGATAGGTGGGAGAGGGAGGACGGATGGGTATATTCACACCTAATGGGTGTGGTGTGTACCATCCAGGGGATGGACATGCTTGAAGCTCTGACACAGGTGGGGCAAAGGCAATATATGTAACCTAAACATTTGTACTCCCATAATATGCTGAAATAAAAAAAGACTGTATCTAAAGTTTTATTTTATTTGGGGATACAGCATACTTTCCTTTAATAACATTCAAATTGATTTTATAAAGACCTTTTAAACTCTAATCCCCTGCCAAACTTCTATAATTGTTTCCAATTGTCTCTAAGAAGTGCTACACAGCCAGCAATAGAAAGCCAAACTGGATCAAGACAGACAGGACTGTCACTTTGGAGGAAGAAGAATCCTAAAACTCTGATGGCTAAGAAAGATGAGGACTACAAAACACCCTTTTAACTTGGTGATTGTGGCAGGCAAGAGAGAATTTAACAAGCTTGGCAGAGTAGCTCAGTGGCACTCTGCCTGGTCTCAGCTCTGTGCATCCCACATCCAGAGAGGGTCCTTTGTTGTAAAAGGCCTGACTCTCTGGAGTTTTGCCCTTTCTGGCTCTCTGAAGGCAATGTGTTTGGTTGACAGAGAAGCTCTTCCCCAAATGAATCCAGCTACCAAGCTTACACATAATCTAAAATTCAATTAATTTTTTTAAAAAACTAAAAAAGAAAACACGCTAATGTAGGAATCCCACAGACTCTGCCTTAATGATCCTCCTGACTGTGGCCAAGTTAAAACTGTTGTGGGAATCATAATTTGGAATTTCCTGCTCCACTTAAATTCTCCAGGGCCAAATTACCATAAAGACCTTTCTTATATTGAAATTCCATTTTTCCAGAAGGTAAAGAACAAACTGCCTTTATATCCAAAATAAATCAAATTAAAGAGAAGAATTATTAATAGAAGGTGACCTTGGATATGTCATTTCACCCTTCTGAATCTCATCAATGAAATGGTGGGTTTTGGATCTCTTAGTCCCTTGCCAGCACTAACATCATATGATTCTGTTGCACAGGTGCTACCCAGTAATTGAGGGTTATATAAATCACCCAGGAGTAAGAAGCAACACCGGACCACTAAGGAAAGGCAGTTAGAAGCATTCATCTCAGATCCCTTTCAAAATGTCAACTAACAGGCTTTTTTCCTTGGCGTATTGCCTTTTTAGCTGTCAACACCTTATGCTGCTTCTTCCACGGGGTTTTTAAAATGAATTAAAAAATATTTTTTAAATGATCTAAACTCTAAAGGATGGCTTAAAGCTAAGAAGGTAAAAAGTGCTGGTGAATAAAAGGTCAGGATGACCGTTTATTGAGGAATGTGGTCTCCATGGTCGTTTCATATGATACTCTGAAGCCATTTTTCCTAAAGTTCTTATTTCAAGATATGGCACATTTAAGGTTCTATCCACACATGACAATCTATGTTTTGCAGAATCCTTAATTAGTGAGTAAAGCTCTATGACATAATGTAAGGTTTGAGTGACACAGAATGTACAAATAAAAGCCTTCCTCAATGACAAAGAAGAGAGTCTAGTGTGTTTTCTTCCACTTATTAGGTGCATTTAATTAGCATATTTTCCCTAGTATATTTTTAATTAGTATATGTTTTCGTCAGAAACAACTTTTGTCCATGTAATTAAAATCTAGCTACAACATTTAAGAAAAAAAAAAGAGGAAAAGGAGGATTAAGAGGTGAAGGAGGAAAGAAGAGAGAAGGGAAGAAAGAATGTAGAATATCAGAGTTGGTATAACACTGTGGGAGTGAAGAGCAAGAAGTTCGGGGACCCAGTTTTGTACTAATTAGCTTTGCGCTTACTCTTGAATAAGTCAGTAGATCGCTCTGCTCTGAGATCTTTCATCTATAGCATGATTTGGCTGGATTATTAATAACTACTAATGGTGTTTACCATCTCTTCCAACTCAAATAG